AAGACTAGTGTCTGCAAATACTAACTGATAGAATAAAAAGGGAGAGCACAATCCAACATGGGAAGCGGGATACACAGCAGACTCATAGAATGGCAGATGTCCTAAATAGCACTCTGGCCTCAGAATCAGCCCTTAAGGCATGTGGATCTGGCTGAAAAGCCCACGAGAGTATTTCGGGCATGGAAAGCCAAGACACTCTGGCAAAACAAAACAAAACAAAAACAAAACAAAACAAAACAAAACAAAAAACAAAAAACAAAACAAAAAAACCTGAATGAAAGATCTCCGTGAGTGAGATCCCAGTGGAAAGAACAGGTCATCAAAGAGGGAGGTACCTTTTTCTGAAGGGAGGAGAGAACTTCCATTCTGAGTATGACCTTACCTAAATATGATCAGAGTTAGTGAACTCAAAAGGCTTCCATAGTCTTGGCAACTCATGACAGGAGCCTAGGGTGATTGCTGATGCCATAAACAAGAGTGTCCATTTGTTCAGTCAACAACAGTAGCCACTGTGCATTTGCTCCTCATGTAGGATCTCTGTCCTAATGTGCTGTACAGTGTGATTTAATACTATAACTAGTACTCAAACAGTATTTTTCACTTTATGTTTCTGTGTGGGAGCAAACTGTTGAAATCTTTACTTAATATATGATAAACTGATCTTCTGTATATAAAGAGAATTGAAAATGAATCTATATGTGAATGGAAGGGGAGAGGGAGTGGGAGAGGGGAGGGTTGCGGGTGGGAGGGAAGTTATGGGGGGGAAGCCATTGTAATCCATAAGCTGTACTTTGGAAATTCATATTCATTAAATAAAAGTTAAAAAAAAACCCTTATATTGAATGGCACATGCCATTGACTTAAACAACCTTTGAAAATTAAGAATAAAATGGGTAGAATAACTCTTTCCTGTTACATAGTTACAGCATCTGTAAAGGGATAGACAGATTAACAGAACAAATTGAGAAACCAGAAACAGACCCACCACACAAAAATAGCCAACTGATGTTGAAAATGCAGTTCAATGAAGGAACAAGAGCTTTTTCAACAAATTGTTCTGGAACAATTTGGATATTCACAGGCAAACAGAGAAAAGAGAGAGAGGGAGACAAAAGGAGAGAAAGAGAATGTGAGAGTGTGCGAGTGGCTTGACCTAACTCTCACAGGAGAGTAAAATGTAAAACCATAAAATTGTTAGAAAAATACATGTAAGATCTTTGGGACTGAGATTAGGGAACGTTCTTATACTTGACAACAAATGCACAATACATAAAATGTCAAAATGGTAAATTTGGCCTTATCCCAATTTACACTTTTTCTCTACAAAACACCATGTTGGCTGGCACTGAAGCTCACTAGGCTAATCCTCCGCCTGTGGCACCGGCACTCCAGGTTCTAATCCCGGTTGCTCCTCTTCCAGTCCATTTCTCTGCTGTGGCCTGGGAAGGCAGTGGAAGATGGCCCAAGTCTTTGGGCCCTGCACCCACATGGGAGACCATGAGGAAGCACCTGGCTCCTGGCTTTGGATTGGCGCAGCACGCCAGCTGTAGCAGCCATCTGGGGTGTGAACCAATGGAAGGAAGACCTTTCTCTCTGTCTCTCTCTCTCTCACTGTCTAACTCTGCCTGTCAAAAAAATAATAATAAAATAAAAAAAGAAAGTTCCAGCTTTTCCACAACCAAACATACACACACACACACACACACCATGTTAGCAGTATGATAAAGGGACAGTCTTGTGGCACAGTGGGTAAAGTTATCTCTCATGATGCCAGCATCCTGTATTGGAACACTAGTGCCAATCCTGGCTTCTCTGCTTCTGAATCAACTCCCTGCTAATGCACCTGGGAAAGCTATGGGATAAGTTTCTGGGCCCCTGCCACCCATGTGGGAGAATAGGCTGGTGTTCCTGTCTTCTGCTTCTATCTGGCCCAGCCCCCTCTGTTGAGGCTGTTTGGGGGAGTGAACAAGCTGATGGAAGATCTCTCTCTCCCTCTCTCTCTGTCACTCTACCTATCAAATAAATAAAAACTATTTTTAAAAGAGCATAAGACAGGGGCCAGAGCCATGGCTCACTTGGTTAATCCTTCACCTTGCGGTGCTGGCATCCCATATGGGCACCAGGTTCTAGTCCTGATTGCTCCTCTTCCAGTCCATCTCTTTGATGTGGCCCTGGAGGGCAGTGGAGGATGGTCCAAGTGCTTGGGCCTCTGCACCTGCATGGGAGACCAGGAAGAAGCACTTGGCTCCTGGCTTTGGATCAGCGCAGCGTGCCAGCCGTAACAACCATTTGGGGAGTGAACCAATGGAAGGAAGACCTTTCTCTCTGTCTCTCTCTCACTGTCTATATCTCTATCTGTCAAACTAAAAAAAAAGAGCATAAGACAAGATAAAGAGTAGGAAAATCTATTTGCAAATAATATTTCCAATAAAGGACTATCATCTAAAGAACGCTCAAAACTCAACAAACAGTAAAGCAAAATAAAATAAGACCCAAAAAATCCAATTTATAAATGAAAGAATAAAAGAATACAGATATTTCACTGAAAAGTATGTACATAGATATGGCTAATGAACACATGAAGAAGTTACTATATATTATCAGACATCAGAGAGATACAAATTAAATCAGAATAAAGATATCACTACATGCCTATCAGAATAGCTAAAATAAAAAAAATTAAAAAGCGATCCAAATAGTAATGAGGATGTAGAGGAAACTGAATCTTCATATTCTGTGGGTGGGAATGTAATAGTACATAGCTACTTAGAAAACAATAATTAAACACTCGCCTTGGGAGGATTTCTTTGCTGATCTGTGCAGTGTCCAGACTACAGACTAGTTCATATGTGTGGTGCTTGCCAGGGATTATGGGCTGGTGAGCGGAAGAGACAATAGGCATGATGGTTACTGGGCAACAAGAGGGATTCCTGTGCTAATGGAAATACTGTGTAACTTGACTATATCAATGTCAGTACCCTGGTTATGACACTGGTCAGGCTGTTTTACAAGATGTGATCATTGGTCCAAACTGGGTAAACAACACTTAAATTCTATTACTACTCACAAACATACGTGGATCTCCAGTCATGTCAAATTAAAATTGAAAGTTAAAGTAAAAATTTAAGAAAACTGATTACTCTTTTTTTCCTAGAATTGCATTCCTTGGTTAACTAATACAACGTATTGCTATAATAAGCGTTCCCAGATTAAGAATCAACAGTGATGAACAAATAATTAAACTCTGTAATGCTAATTCTGAATGCAAAAAAAAAAAAAAAAAACTGGAGGACTGGACATGATAATTCCTTCCTTTCTGATCTTGATGGGTTTATCTCATTTATGTAAGAAACTCTATGAGAGCAGTACTATGAGGCCCATTTCACAGCAGAGGGAACAAGGGATTCAGAAATTCAAGCAGTTATCTAATTTTCCACAGCTGCAAAGTGATAAACTTGGAATACAACTTGAAATTGGAAAATGGAACCAGTCCTCCCTCTGCTCTTTCTGTGAGGACACATTGACTCACAGACATCTAAAAAAGAAACTGCTCACCTTGTGGAATGGTCCAAGTGGAAATGCATCTGTCTAGCACAATGAGTTAAGAGGGAAAGGTACGAGGGGGTGTTCCAGGTGGAGGATGTGGCAGGAAACCTCCAGCATGAAGAAGAATATGGTCTGGCCTATTCTACAGGGGCTGCCTGACCAGGAGAGATGCAGGTTAGGACAGGTGGGACAGGTATGCACCAGTGGTCCTGCCTGCCACACAGAGGACAGTCACACAATTCATTTTGACATTTCAATTCATTTTGACAGAAGAGTTTGAAATGAAAATTTAAGATTAAAATTTAATAATGGGCTGGCGCTGTGGCTCACTAGGCTAATCCTCCGCCTTGCGGCGCCGGCACACCGGGTTCTATTCCCGGTCGGGGCACCGGATTCTGTCCCGGTTGCCCCTCTTCCAGGCCAGCTCTCTGCTGCGGGAGTGCAGTGGAGGATGACCCAAGTGCTTGGGCCCTGCACCCCATGGGAGACCAGGAGAAGCACCTGGCTCCTGGCTTCAGATCAGCGCGGTGCGCCGACCGCAGCGTGCTGGCTGTGGCGGCCATAGGAGGGTGAACAAATGGCAAAGGAAGACCTTTCTCTCTGTCTCTCTCTCTCTCTCACTGTCCACTCTGCCTGTCAAAAAAAAAAAATAATAATTTACTAATGGTTTTATCAGGCTGCTAATATATACTATTTTTGATTACTAAATTAAAAGAAAATGCCAAACTTCAGTATTTTACTGCTTGCAACAAACAATATGATAGGAGCAATGGGGGATTCTGTAGAAGACGGTGAGAATCCTTGAGGAGTCTACTTTTGACTTAAAGAAGAGGCCCAGGATGCAAATAGAGGTTCCTAAGGATTATTTGCGTTCGTGAAAGTTAATATCTACATTGGATGACTTGGGAGAAATGAGAGAAAAGCCCAAAAAATAAGCGTAAGTTCAGCATAAGTTCAGTATTTATCTCATCCTAGACCAAAGTGGGCATGGTGGTGCTAAGAAACAAACAGGGACATGCTGGCACTGGAAGACAGTCAAGAGAGGAAACCAAGATGTCACAGGTGGACTTTGGAAAGTGTAAGTAGGTATTATTGATTACCTGTGGTGTCTGGAAAGAACTGTATTACATGGTACCCACCTTAATTAGCCAATATCCCCTAATTTCGAATATGAAATACACATGTGTTATCTTTGCAAAGCTAAATCATGTTATTAGCAAAATTTCCCTTGATCAAAAAAAAAAAAAAATACACACCACTAGTTCTGACCCTTTATCAGTTGTCAAAACGGTACCGTTTATTGCTCTGTGGTCCACTTAAAGGGAAGTGACCAAGAGTGGTCAGGGCTTGGAACCAAGCTCTTGCATACATGACCGTGGCCTTTCTCCTTGCTTCCTATTTGCCTGACACACCCTTCCCTGGAGAGGCAAGCCCGCAGCCAGCGCCGCTCTTACCTTGCGCGTCTGTGAGCTGCGCAGCCCTGCAGCTCAGCACCAGCTGCTGCTCACAGCGCTCTGCTAGGACCACCGCTGCCCGGAGCTGGCCCGCGCCGGCCCCATAGGCGAAGGTTGTGGAGTGCGCTAGCCCTCGTGCGGCGCCGCTTACCGTCACCGTGTCTGGGCCGCCGTGTGGCACCACTGTCCACGCTGTGTCTGTGCAGCAGAAACCAGGAAAGAGGAGGCATCACAGGGCAGCTGAGATAAGTAGGAGTCTTACCTGAATTATGCTTTCAATTGAAATTTGTGTTACTCAGCATTTGCAGTTTTGGGTTGCATTTGTGTAGTGATGTATTTAGCCAAAACTCAGCCTGTAAGGAAAACTACATTGGGAGAAATGACTTAAATCTTCCCGGAGTTGATGTCTAAAATATATAAAATAAGCAATGACTTTGTAGTTCTTATAACCATTTCTTACATCAACACGGAAACGAGGGAAAATTGTTATTGACTATACATTTATGCTCTTTAAAACAGTATTTTCCTTCCCTTTTATGTGAGTTTATTTGTTTCATTATCAAATAGATTTATAACATATCTATTTGGGGATGATTTGACCCACATAGGAAGCAACCCTAGTAAAACAGAGGTGTTAATTGTGTCAGTTTCTCTACCAGAGCCCAAGCCCTGAAGAACCAATCTCCGAGTATCTGAGGCCACCCTCCATGTGCCTGCCAACCTGCTGAACAAACTCCTGACACATCCCCGTGACTTTGATGACTTATATTTGCTCTGATGAAATAAAAAGCAAATCTCATAAAGGAGGAAACACACCGTGGGGTTCTATAATGTTTCCAACAATTGACCTGGCGCCTAGCACAGTAAGGCCTATTGGAGCTTGCACAGTTATCTGGGAATTAGTGGACAAGAAACTGACTTGAAGTCACTCTAGATCTACTACACTGGTGTTGTCTGGTTCCTAAAACTCTAAAAAAGATACATTTAGTATAGGGCACATTTTACCAAGGAACTTTCCAAACTGAGGAGACTGGGAAACATTCAGAAATTCCAAGAATTAAAAATCAAAATCATATAATAGATTTTATAATGAGAAATCACTTTTTCACTCCTCACATCAAACGCTTTTTAATGAATGGTGCCTGAATGTGCATGAGATAAATTTAATAGCCTTACACACTCCTAACATGACACAAGAAGACAGATAGAGGGCCAAAGAGGGAATAAGTCTCTAGTCACAGAGCCCATGGACAGCAAAGGCATAATTCCCAAGAAATGTGTGAAAGGATCTGTGAACTTATACAACTAATGCGCTTTTAAATTAAATGATCTCTTGGCCCATTGTACTAACTGAAAGAGGCCCTAACTCTTCCTGGAGGAATTTCTGTTGTGTGGATTTTCCTTTAATAATGTTTTAACAAAGCATTTTTTCTTTGAGAATTCAAATAACTTGGTATTACCTTTTGTATATTACCTACCTATATTCACCTGTGGTTTTTGCCTTTCAACTGAATCAAATATGGAAAAATCATATGGAATACTACATTGGGCATCAAGGACAATAAATCACATGTCTTTTTTTCACTTGCTCATGGTTTCGTGGTTCTGAGTAATTCAGAGACTGGTGTTCAGTAGTACAGCTTTGTACCCATGCATAGCTAAAATGACGTAATATGTCCTCCTTACTGAGAAGGAAGGGTGAAAATATATCTTTAAAACTCTTTTTTTCTGAGGAATAAATAGTAACCTGGTTGAAATATGCATTTGTGTTTATAAAATTATATCTAAATCATTACTGTGCTATCAGTAGTAAAAGACCCAAGACAGGGCATAACTATTATAAACTGTTCATAATTTATTTTATTTTATTTTTTTCTGTTTTTTTTTTAACTTTTATTTAATGAATATAAATTTCCAAAGTACAGCTTATGGATTACAATGGCTTCCCCCCCATAACTTCCCTCCCACCCGCAACCCTCCCCTTTCCCTCTCCCCCGCCCTTCCATTCACATCAAGATTCATTTTCAATTCTCTTTATATACAGAAGATCAGTTTAGTATATATTAAGTAAAGATTTCAACAGTTTGCACCCACATAGAAACACAAAGTGAAAAATACTGTTTGAGTACTAGTTATAGCATTAAATCACACTGTATAGCACATTAAGGACAGAGATCCTACATGAGGAGTAAGTGCACAGTGACTCCTGTTGTTGACTTAACAAATTGACACTCTTGTTTATGGCATCAGTAATCACCCTAGGCTGTTGTCATGAGTCGCCAAGACTATGGAAGCCTTTTGAGTTCACTAACTCTGATCATATTTAGACAAGATCGTAGTCAAAGTGGAAGTTCTCTCCTCCCCTCAGAGAAAGGTACCTCCTTCTTCGATGGCCTGTTCTTTTCACTGGGATCTCACTCGCGGAGATCTTTCATATAGGGTTTTTTTTTTTTTTTTTTTTTTTTGCCAGAGTGTTTTGGCTTTCCATGCCTGTAATACTCTCATGGGCTTTTCAGCCATATCCAAGTGCCTTAAGGGCTGATTCTGAGGCCAGAGTGCTGTTTAGGACACCTGCCATTCTATGGGTCTGCTGTGTATCTCGCTTCCCATGTTGGATTGTGCTCTCCCTTTTTTATTCTATCAGCTAGTATTTGCAGACACTAGTCTTGTTTATGTGATCCCTTTGGCTCTTAGTCCTATCATCATGATCAATTGTGAACAGAAATTGATCACTTGGACTAGTGAGATGGCATTGGTACATGCCACCTTGATGGGATTGAACTGGAATCCCCTGGTATGTTTCTAACTCTACCGTTTGAGGTAAGTCAGCTTGAGCATGTCCTGAATTGCACATCTCTTCCCTCTCTTACTCCCACTCTTATATATAACAGCGATCACCCTTCAGTTAAGTTTCAACACTTAAGAATAACTGTGTATTGATTACAGTATTCAACTAAAAGTATTAAGTAGAACAAATAAACAAAAAAATACTAAGAGGGATAACGTATTAAGTTGTTCATCAACAACAATGGTAGAGTTATAGACAGTGAGAGGGAGAGACATAAAGAAAGGTCTTCCTTTTGTTGTTTCACTCCCCGAATGGCCGCAACGGACTGCACACTGCGCCGATCTGAAGCCAGGAGGCAGGTGCTTCTTCCTGGTCTCCCATGTGGGTGCAGGGGCCCAAGCACATGGGCCATTTTCTACTGCTTTCCCAGGCCACAGCAGAGAGCTGGATTGGAAGAGGAGCAGAGGGGACTAGAACCGTGCCCACATGGGATGCAGTACCGCAGGCTGAGGATTAACCTACTGCACCATGGCGCCAGCGCCTCATAATTTATTTTAATACATAATAATTTGTGGGCGCTGAAGGACCCTCCTATTACATTTATGAAGAAAGAGACCTAAAGTTTAAAGTAACAGGCACAATGGTAAAATGTATAATTGATGTTTCTTATAGTTTGAATCACAAATTAATTTGAGTGATTAATTATAGCAGTGGCTAAATGCAGGAAGGGTTTCAGAAGTCTGTGGAAGCTGGTGTATTCTGACTCATTGGAGTCTATCTCATTGGGCCACAAACAGGGAGACTACTAGTCCATCCCTGTTCTACCTCTTAACACAACAAATATCCAATTTAGAAAACTAAGCTAATTTAATTTCATGATTTGACTGGGATTAACATTCAAATTAAATAATAAAATTTACTCAACAAGTCATACAAAATTCCTGGTCTGGCCATTCCTATATGCCAAGATGGGAGTTGGGGGAAGAAAATGAAGATTCGGGCCGGCGCCGCGGCTCAATAGGCTAATCCTCCACCTAGCAGCGTCAGCACACCGGGTTCTAGTCCCGGTCAGGGCGCCGGATTCTGTCCCGGTTGCCCCTCTTCCAGGCCAGCTCTCTGCTGTGGCCTGGGAGTGCAGTGGAGGATGGCCCAAGTGCTTGGGCCCTGCACCCACATGGGAGACCAGGAGAAGTACCTGGCTCCTGCCTTCGGATCAGCGCAGTGCGCTGGCCGCAGCGCGCCAGCAGTGGCGGCCATTGGAGGGTGAACCAACGGCAAAAGGAAGACCTTTCTCTCTGTCTCTCTTTCTCACTATCCACTCTGCCTGTCAAAAAAAAAAAAAAAATGAAGATTCATCAACATCAACAATGCTCTGTTGTTGGGAGCGTGCACATTAAAGGTTAACTCTTTTTGGAGAAATGACTCTTGTTTGAAAAATATGTTCTTCATTTTTTTAATAACCAAAAATAAAGTTTAATATTTGGTTCTGAGGAAAAATAAAATTTAAGGTGCTATACATTTTTTCCAAAAATTATTTACAGGTTAGGTAACACTGAAATATCTATGTTGTTATTTCATGATATTTAGTACTCCTGTGTTCCCACTGAGAAATATTTGTTCACATTATTTATATGAAAGTGACAAAATGGCAGTTTTATAATTTAATAATTTACAACTAAAGTTCAAAAGTTGGGGACAAATACAAAAATGCATTATGAGCTTTGCTCTTTTAACCACTTGATACATTGGGTGTCTACTTTATTTTATGATATCAGATACCAGTCCATAAACTAATTTAATTTTAGTCATATAATACTTTTAACTCAAATGAGTTGGAAAATACAAATATCTCTGCTTTAGTAAATTGCTTTATGGGAAGATTATCCCTTCAATATATAACAGTTGAAAGTATGGGTGGTATGGAAAAAATGGAGAAAGGCATGGATAATTTTCCAAGAGGAACAGATCACATTAATAAATAATTATCACACAAACTTTAGATCTTAGGCCAAGTTTCACAGGAATTTTGGAATAATATTGAACAGGTTTACTTTTCTCTTTATGTTTACATAGGTAGATAGTAAAAGTCATCCAATTTAGTAACCTTTAAGGAAATGTTACGTATTTCAAATTAGATGCAATATTCTACTGTAAAATTCCTTGTTATCTGACCCAATTATTTCATTAGTTGGGTTGTCCATAAAAGAGAATTTAAGCTAACTCAGATATTTCAGAGTACAAAAAAATAAGTAGAGATTAAAACTTGTCAAATATACTGCCTCAGGAATTATGTCTCATTGCCTAAGTTACACATGAGAATTTCTACTTCAATAAATCTTTCATGTAAAAATAACCTAACACTTAAATATAGAAAAGGAAATATTATAAAAGTAGAGATCTGGTATTTTAAAAATATCATCACAATTCTCTGGCGATTACTCTCTGCTTCTTCTTTTTTTTCTTTCTTTCTTTTTCTTTTTCTTTTTTTTTTTTTTACAGGCAGAGTGGACAGTGAGAGAGAGAGACAGAGAGAAAGGTCTTCCCTTTTTTGCAGTTGGTTCACCTTCCAATGGCCGCCATGGCTGGTGCGCTGCGGCCAGCGCACCGCGCTGATCCGAAGGCAGGAGCCAGGTACTTCTCCTGGTCTCCCATGGGGTGCAGGGCCCAAGCACTTGGGCCATCCTCCACTGCACTCCCAGGCCACAGCAGAGAGCTGGCCTGGAAGAGGGGCAACCGGGACAGAATCCGGCGCCCTGACCGGGACTAGAACCCGGTGTGCCGGCGCTGCTAGGTGGAGGATTAGCCTAGTGAGCCGCAGCGCCGGCCTACTCTCTGCTTCTTTGCCTTTGCCAACACCTGGCTTTACCCTGCACATCATTTCCCACTCCCACTTCTCATCAAGCAGTTTTCTTTTCTTTGGTCTCTCTTGCTGTAGCTTTTCTTTCTTCCTTTTCCAGCTCCTTTTTTTTTTTTACTAGAACGGTGTGTTTACTCTAGTCTCTGAACTTCTTGGATTTGTGGTTTACTTTCTGACAATTTGTGGAAATTTTGTCACAATTGATTCAAATATTTCTTCCGTTTCTTTATTGCCCTTCTTATAGTCCTTTTACAAGTATGTTACACCTTGTGGAGTTATACCAAAAGGTAGAATCTGAGAACAGATTTGACCCTGTTTTCTTTTTTTTTCTCTTTGCTTTTCAGTTTTGGAAATTTCCGTTGGGACATCCCCAAGGATAGATATTCTTCCTCAGCTTGCCCCTATTTCATGAGCTCCTCAAAGACAGTTTTCTCCTTTCACAAAGTGTCTGATCTCTAGCATTTCACTTTGCTTTTTTCTTAGAATTTTTGTCTCTCTGCTTATATCCCCTCCTGTTCTTGCATGTGGTCTGTTTTTTCCATTAGCGCCCATAGCATATTAATCAAAGCTGTTTTAACTTTCTAGTCCAATAACTTCAACACGCCGGTTATCTCTGACTGTTTTTGAAGCTTGTGCTGCTATCTCTTCAGATTGCGGTTTTTGCCTTTTGGTATGCCTCACAGTCTTTTCTTGATAGTAGGATATGATGTACTAGGGAAAAGTCACCCCTGTCAACAGACCTTCAGTCCAGTCACTAAAGCACTCCCTTGCACTCATATTGGTCTCAGTCTTTAGTAAGCCTGTGCCTCTGGACAGTGAACTTCACACGTCTTGCCAGCACCACCTCACCACCGTTAGGTCGGACAGGATGACCACAGGTGGCTGGAATAAAGTAGTTCATTTTGCGGGAGTAAGGGAGGCTCCAGAAAACCCCCACATACTTTAGGCTCACTTCCTTCTGAGGGAAGACCTTGTTAAGAACAGAAGGCTCAGGTGTATTTTTAAACTGTTCCTTTTCCCCACCTCCTTTAAGAAGCATGATGTGATTTTTCTCTAGTATTCACTGTGTGAGAACATGGTCAGACTCCTACAGATAAAACTCACAAAAGCATGGGTGCCCTTCTGTGACTGGGTCCTCCTGGAGTTGTTAACACTCAGACTTGTGCACACCGAGTATTCATCAGTCCGTGAATCACAGAGTCTGTTTTCCTACCCTGGCATTGGATCCTTTGGAGATTTCTGCCTGTGAGTTTGCTTTGGTCACTGTGACTCTCTGTATCTCTCTCTCCAGTCTGGGGTCAGTGGTTTGCTCTGAGACCTCATTTCTCTCCTGGATCTAAGAGGAGTTGTTGATTTATCAGTTTATTCAGCTTTTGTTTGTTGTTAATTCACCTGTGAAGTGCTGATATTCTTTGGCAATCTTTCCTAAAGCATTTTCACTCTTTTGTACTTTTAGTTGTCTACTTTCTGTTGTTTTGTTGTTCCCCTTGGTGTTTGCTGATCTATTTGGCTGCTGTCCAAATCTTTGGAACTTTTTCTTTGCACACTAAATGAGAACCATTTATTCTAGATTTCTTTTCTCAGGGCAGTTGCAAGAGCTAGGGACAACTATAAATATTTAACTAAGAGGCATCTTAATGCAATCTTCTATAATTAAGCTGTATTTGTTTGTAATAATATCAAAGCCAGAATGACTTTACAATATCAAGTAATCCAAGAAGCCAATGTCCTTGATTATGAAAAGCATATATGCCATAAAAATCACTAACTTATCTGAGACATACATAAACCATTTACCCTCATATATGATATTTCCTAGTACCTTTAAAGACCTTTTTAAATGTAGCAGATATGTACAACACAGAACCTAAGCTTTATATTTTAATGTGATGCCTTGAACATATGTATTATGAAAGTGCAGGAGCTGTAAGGACTCTCCGGGAGAGCATCACATTTTGCTTTTAAACAATCTTGGTAAGTAAGAGATGTGAAACATTTTGTTGACTAAAATTAATACATGTATAATACTTATAATTTAGCAAGTATGTCACTATCAACTGAATGTTTTATTTTTATATGCATCATTTTAATTTTTACTAATAAAAGGGAAGCTTAAGCAATTCTTTCTAAGAGGACTTAGTTGAGAAACTTGAAAGGCAGAGTGACAGTGAGAAAGACACAGACAGATAGAAAGAGAGAGGGGGAGAATCTTCCATTTGCTGGTTTACTCCTCAAAGTCTGCAACAGCTGGGGCTGGGTTGGGCTGAAACCAAGGACCCAGAACTCTATCTAGGTCTCCCACAGGGGTGGCAGAAACCTAAGTCATTTGGCTATTATTTGTAATTTGCTGCCTTCCCAGGTGCATTAGCAGGAAGTTGGATTGGAAGTAGAGTAGCAGATTTGAACTGGCACTCTGATATGAGATGTGGGCATCTTATGCAGCGGCTTAATCCACTGTAGCATAATTCCTGCCACAAACTGCATGTTTTAATAATACTTCCAACTAGGTCAATTTCCCCATGGTCTGTTCTGATTATATAAATAACCAACATATGAATCTGAAGATTATTAACATACCTGTCATATTGCAGTACACAAGAAATGATCCCAGGGGGCCACTTCCATCTACATCCACGTGGTACAGCCCAGAAGAGTTCCCTCTGTATTTGTGGGCTTCGCAGGACTGCTCGTAGAGAGCTGCAGGAACATATCATTTATCACAAATAGAAGAAATCCTTCAGTTTGGTTAATTAATGTCCAAAAGGCTTCTATTTCTGAATTACAGACATGTTAAAAAGATTACTCAACATCATTTTTATTAGCATGGATGATATTTGATTGGATAGACAAAAATGACATTTAAAAATTAAATTTGGGGCCAGTGTTGTGGCATTAAGCTGCTGCCCTCAATGCCAGCCTCCCATATAACAACAGTTTCAGAACTTGATGCTCCACTTCTGATTCAGCTCCCTGCTAATGTGCCTGGGAATGCAGCAGAGGATGCGCCAAGTGCTTGGGCTTCTGCCAACCAAGGGGGAATCCCAGATGGAGCTCCTGTTGGCTTCTGCTTGGCCCAGCCCTGGCTGTGGCAGCCATGTGGGGAATGAAACGGAAGATGAAAGACTGATCTCTCTCTCTCCCTGTGTCTCACTATCTCTTTCTGTAACTCTGATGTTCAAATAAATAAAATAAATCTTTAAAAATTAAATTTATTATTAACAAAAGAGGGAAATTATCAATTTTATATGAATGTAAATATTGAATGTTGATAGCTTCTTAATGAATATTTGAAATACATTTTTATTTTGAAGACAAAGGAAACAGTATATTGCTGATTAAAGATGAATTTGTAGTTACAGTGGAAAATGCGATACCATCATTAACAGAGAGTTATTTGGCAATATCTAGGGACTGTATTTCCTCTATACAACTATTTTCTTGTTTTTAAGCAAGGAAACATGAAGGTTCTGAGGCATTGTATAAAAAAATTCAGTAAATCTTTGAGGGAAAACTCTGAATTTGAATTCTACATGCTAATGAATATGATTGTTTTCAAAGTCATGGCAACCAGATTCAGAAATAAGTGCTATAATTAAAGGATAAGCCCTCATTCTGCCTGCAGGAATTGAATATCTGAAGTACATTAGTTTCAGTTTGTGTTAGTAGTCTAGTAGTTAAGCATGTTATAAAATACTTTTAAATTATTTAATAATTGTATCCTTTACTTACTTACAAACAACCAACAAATGAGTACTTTGCAGAGATGAATATATCTTGCAAATCAGAAACTTGTCTTCATTAAAAAAATTAAAGTTGATTGTAAAAAGAAACTTTTGTTTTAAAAAGATTTAAAACTTTTGATTTATAAAGAAACTTCTGCAGTATTTTGTGACAATTCAAAATAATTAAAACAAGAGAGAGAATATTTTTATGAGAGATGTCCTGACTTAATGTTAATTTATTAGGTACTTTAATTTGTGCAAGTAAATGTTTTATTGAATACAAAGTATGGACTTAACATCTGCAGGTGATGGGCATCACCAATCCTCAGCATGAGTTTAGAAAAAGATTAGAAGGCAACCTGTTGGCTAGCAGGAAAGATGAAGGTGAGGACGCTAAGGGCATAGAGTCCTAAAGTCTTACCAGCACCAGTCCATTTTAGCAACAACACAGACACAGCTGGGGAGGACAAATTGAGTGAAAAGATGAAATACAGGGGAAAACAAGCCACACTATGGGAAAGAGAAGTGAATGTGTGTATGTTTTTATAAGAAGGACATTGTACATAGACTAGATTGTACAGTTACTTTCATAAATATTCATTGAAAACTCTTCTCAAACACTTAAGGCAAATCCCAAGAATAGGATTGGATTGGGGGCAAATACTGAGGATGATGATTAGAAAAACCTTTAAAATTTATTTTGGTTTTTAAAATTTGAATGGCAGAGAGAGGTCTTCTATTTGTTGGTTCATTCCTCAAATGCCTGCAACAGCCAGGGCTGCGCTTGGCCAAAGCCAGGAGTCTGGAGCTCAAGCTGGGTCTTCCACATGGGTGGCAGGAATGCAAGCAGGTGAGCCACTGCCTCCCAGGATGTGCAGTAGCAGGAAGCTATGTCAGAAGTAGATAAGCCAGGCACTCTGATTTGGGAAGCAGGCCTCCCAAGTGGTGCCTTTATTCTCTGTGTCAAACACCTGCCAATATATTAGACTTTTTACATGACAATGAATATATGTATTAACTGCAGAATTTTTCCAAAGAAAAATTACCTATGACAACTTGGTGCAGCAGTCTAGTTGCACGGTAAGCCCATGAGTGTGGGCTTGGCAAAATTACACTTATGCTTGGTGTATCTGTTTGAAAACCACAACATATTTAACCCAATTACTAGATCAGATTGAAATTTGGAGTATTTCTCTTTTCTCATACTTTCCTGCAGAATTGTTTGGAGTTACAATTTTACTTCAGTCAACAGCCATGTGATAATTCAACTAATCCATTATCCACAATGTGTAAGAGATGACGCTGGGCAAGGCAGATAATACAAAGTTAAAGGTAACCTGGGCGTGGGCATCTGCTTCATGGAAGATGCTATGTTTGGAGGACAGAAGTAGACAGAGGTCAGGATCTGCTCCTTGTATGAGCCCTGTGGCCTTCTTAAGTCACTCAGCCTCTGGTTTTAGAGGGCCACCCAACTCCTAGAACTGTTGGAACAGCTTTGGAAACCAAAAATCTAGTAACAGAGTTGGCCCTGACTGTGTCCTTCTTTGCCCAGTTATTTTGTAGAAACTCAAAGCTGGCAATGCAGTATTCTCTAGGTTCATTTACATCCTGCATGCCCCCTATAGTTTTTATGAAAATAAAATTGAATATTACATGGAAGAACTCTCTAAAGGAGGTTCTCAGCATAAATAGGTGATTGAATTGATGACGTTGAATCTTATTCCATTTCCCTGAAGACCCAGGGATGGGGGAAATTGTTTCTAAGGGAAGTTGCTCAGAAATGTTACTAGAGATATAGGAGAGAAGAAGAAAACCTTAAAAGTCATCAAAAATACCAAAACAAGCCGAAAAAAATGTGTGTGTAGTCGGTCATATTCTTCTAATTGTTAACAAATTAGAGGTCAATAAAATGAAAGGGGCTTTAAAGTATACAGAGGCTGACTCTTCAGTAAAGACAAAATTTTTAATAAAATAGAAACAATATAGAATTGCTATGATAAGTCATTTCATGGAAGCAATCTCATACTTTGATGTGTGTTAGAATAACCAGGGCAGTTGGTTCAAATAGTTTCCTAGGGCCCCATCCTCAGAGATGCTGATTCTGTAGGTTTGGGTGAGACCTGAGATTCTTTCACTCTAACAAGTTTTCCACATGATTCTGATGCTGCTTATGCATGGACTACTCTTCCAGCATCCTAAAAGGTTCAGAGTCAACTTAACTCAATTCCTTATTGTGCCATTCATTAGATGGGTAGCAAGTTACTTACTCTCTTTTTGTCCTCAACTCTGCAATGCAGGTATAATAATAGTACTTTTTCCCCAAGAGTTGATTTAGGATTAAATAATTTAATACAAGTACAAGCAAAACAATAGATGGCAGCAAGCATACTTAAGCATTCAGTAAATGAATACTCTTATAATTATTCACTTTAAAATCATCATTATTATCAAAGAGATTTTAAAAGCCCATTAGTTTCTAGCTGATATCTAATTTCTTCTTCTGAAACTTTACCATAGCATTCCCAGGCCATATTTTTGTTGCTGTTGTTGTTTCAAAAAATCTTTAATCCTATTAAATTTAACAATGAGAGTGTAAAATCTTGTGACTGATTTGTTTTTCTGTCTTTGTTTCAAAGTATGGCTCAAATCAAGTAATGAAATAAGGTTGTTACATTATGCATTCTTGATTAATTTAGTTTGATTCTTATTCTTTGTTATATCTTATTCTCCTAGACTTATTTTCTCATTGATTACTATTATCTCTTTTTCTATTTTACTTAGTACTGCCTATTTTTTAAAGATTTTATTTATTTATTTATTTGAGAGGTAGAGTTATAGACAGTGAGAGGTAGATACAGAGAGAAAGGACTTCCTTCTGTTGGTTCACTCCCCAAATGGCTGCAATGGCTGAAGCTGCGCCAATCTGAAGCCAGGAGCAAGGTGCTTCTTCCTGGTCTCCCAGACAGGTACAGGGGCCCAAGCACTGGGTCATCCTTCACTGCTTTTCCAGGCCACAGCAGAGAGCCGAATCAGAAGAGGAGCAGCTGGGACTAGAACCGGCACCCGTATGGGATATCGGCACCACAGGTGGAGGATTAACCTGCACTGGCCCCAGTACTGCCTATTTCTGTAAACTGTTTCAACACCCCCTTGTATTAAATGAGGCAGATTGAAAAATATACTGGAAATTAAATGTATGCTAAAACACTGAGTATGATGTATTTGCATGATTGAAAATATACAGATGCACGTAAGCAACTAATGAAAATGAATTGACACAAAAATTATAAATACATAGAAACAAGCATTGAGGTGTGTGGCTTACGTGAATGGCAGGTCAGTCCCATGTAACCTGTGCCTGTGCAGTCACAGGAGAATGTGTCCCAGGACTGGGAGCACTCGCCTCCATGTTCGCAGTGGCTGGGCAAACACCTAAAAGAAAACAGACACAATTGTTATTTCCCTTTATCAAGCATCAGGAAGTCTTATTTGTATGTATGAAACTAACAGATTCCTGTTAAACAACAGCAAATACAAGAGAATTCTATGACCTATGATGACTGTAGTGATAAATTTAGTAGAAATATATCCAGTGGCATGATATTCATTATTTTATGTATCTGTAGTAGCTGATTTTTCATGGCATCTTATTTTTTTCTTTTTGACCCAAGTGACAAAATGCTAACTCACATGTGGCTAACAAAATCAATAATAATAACTGAAAAGTGATCCCTGTTAAATATAAGAGTGGGAATAAGTGAGGGAGGAGATGTACAATTTGGGACATGCTCAATCGGACTTGCCCCAAAAGGTGGAGTTAGAATCATGCCAGGGGATCCCAATACAATCCCATCAAGGTGGCATGTACCAATGCCATCTCACTAGTCCAAGTGATCAATTTCAGTTCACAATTGATCATGATGATAGGTCTAAGAGTCAAAGGGATCACACAAACAAGACTAGTGTCTGCTAATACTAGCTGATAGAATCAAAAAGGGAGAGAACGATCCATCATGGGAAGCGAGATACACAGCAGACTCATAGAATGGCAGATGTCCTAAATAGCACTCTAGCCTCAGAATCAGCCCTTAAGGCATTCAGATCTGGCTGAAGAGCCCATGAGAGTATTTTAGGCATGGAAAGCCAAGACACCCTGGAAAAAAAAAAAAAAAAAAAGAAGACTTAGATGAAAGATCTCTGCGAGTGAGATCCCAGTGGAAAGAACGGGGCCATCAAGGAAGGAAGTAACTTTCTCTGAAGGGAGGAGAGAACTTCCACTTTGACTATGACCCTGTCAGAATAAGATCAAAGTCAGAGAACTCACAAGGCTTCCATAGCCTTAGCAACTCATGACTAGAGCCTAGGGAGATTACTGACGCCATAAACAAGAGTGTCAAATTGTTAAGTCAACAACAGGAGTCACTGTGTACTTACTTCTCATGTGGGATCTGTCCTTAGTGTGTTGTCCAATATGAAGTAATGCTATAACTAGTACTGAAACAGTATTTTACACTTTATGTTTCTGTGTGGGTGCAAACTGATGAAATCTTTACTTAATATATACTAAACTGATCTTCTGTATATAAAGAGAATTGAAAATGAATCTTGATGTGAATGGAATGGGAGAGGGAGCGGGAGATGGGAGGGGTGTGAGTAGGAGGGAAATTATGGGGGGGAAAGCCATTGTAATCCATTAACTGTACTTTGGAAATTTATATTTACTAAATAAAAAATAAATTAAAAAAATAAAAAAAGAATTTAAAAAATCAATAATAATAAACAAATTTGCTATACTTAACTGCTACAATGAAGACTTTCAAAAGGAACAAAAGGAAGACAGGGAGGTGGAAGAATAGGGGGAAAAAGTGACAGGACCATATTCGATCGTGGAGTAAAACAGTTTGGGAATTTTGGGTAACATTTAATGTAGGTCAGCTCATCATCACCTTTTATATTTAGAATGAGCAATCAGTTATTGGAAGACTTAGTATTGTTAAGATACTATCCAAACCAATCTACAGAGTCAATATAATCCTATCAAAAATCCAGTGGCCTTTTTTGCAAAAATATAAATTTCATGCAGAATTCACAGGAACCCCTAAGGGACCAGGAGTAGCCAAAACAATGTTGAAAAAACCACAAAGTTGGAGGTGTCATACTTCCAGAGTTATGAGGGAACATTTCCTTGTGGAAATGGCAGAGTTGGTAAGAATACAGGTCTTGCCTACTTGGGTCCAGAGAAGGGGCAGGAGAGGGGCTGAGAGGTCCTGAAAAAGACTGCCTATTTGTGTTGGTGGACAAAGGTTAGGCAGGGAGCTGAGATAAGAAAGCTGCCAGGAGCCCCACAGTCCTGTGTTTGGCTCCTCTAGGGACCCTTTGAGAGGGATCTGGGGGACTAAGAAGAAACCCCACCAACTTGGCACCCCAGCAACATACCTCCACTTGAAAGCCAGGACTTTGACTAATTGTATGCAGCTAATGAGAGCTTATTCTGTTTTCAGAGCATAATAGTTATGAGCAACCAGTATCACAGCTTTTCAAATATTTCAAGGGCCAAGGATTGGTAAAGTGTGTGAGGATGAACCCAAAGCAGACCCTCAGCATTGGGTAGGAGTGAGAGCTGAGGATGGGATGAAGCTAGGGGGAAAGACCCTCTGGTCTCTGCTTTTATAAATCAGCTGAGAAGGTTGGAAGGGAAAGTGGCCTCATTAACATTTCTGGGTGAGGGGGTGAAGGGGCAGCACCCCAGCTTGGGGAGTTTCTAGAGGCAAAGGAGCTCAGCAGCTCTGTACAAAGGCACAATTAGAGTTTTTGATTTCGATTATAGGAGTCTGGTGGAACTGGGGACGTTAGAAGGTAAAACCTATCCAAACATGAGACAGCCAGTATGTGTGGCTCTGCCATCCAGGGAGCCCACTGTTATTTTTTAGTCAGACTAAAAAATTTGATTTAAAAAGATAACTTCAAGAAATTCAAATGGCCAACAGACACTCGAGAAAATGCTCAGGATCACTAACCGTCCGTGAAATGCAGATCAAACCCACAATGAGGTTTCATCTCACTCCAGTTAGAATGGCACCCATACAAAACAACAAATGACAAATGCTGGCGAGGATGTGGGGAAAAGGTACCCCGGTCCACTGTTGGTGGGAATGTAAACAGTTGTAACCACTGGGGAAGACAGTTTGTAGATACTTTAGAAATCTGAATGTAGAGCTACTACTATATGATCCAGTCATCCAACTCCTGGGAATTTACCCAAATCAAAAGAAATCAGCATCTGAAAGTGTTATTTGCACTCCATTTTGAGAATCAATGATTGTTTATAGCCCTTGTCTCTTCCTTGTTGAAGAACAATGTTTTGTTTTTTGTTTGTTTGTCTTTTCCTCATTCATTGAACTCTTTTATTTAGAGTAAGGTTAAATATTTGATCATTAAGTATACTGAAAATAGATCATTGTAAAAATTGTGGGAATTGGAGAGGGAGGGGGAAGAAGGATTAGAGCATGGGTGGGAGGGAGTGTATGGAGGGAAGTGCCACTATATTCCTAAATCTGTACACATGAAATATATGAAACCTGTATAACTTAAATAAAATAAAAAAGGATTAAAATATTTCTTATCTTCTCCACAGTTCATTGAATCTGCCATTATGCACATATCTTCCTTGATCTCTGCAGTTCAAACTTTTCTAGGAGAGATTTTCATTTTCTCTGTAGAAGATGCAGTATTGGGTCACTGATGTAAATTAAAAGAATAATAACTTATCAAATTGTCCTGTCCCAGAAAATGTCATCTGACTGATGGAGTATGTTTGCAAGAACTGGCTTGATGATTATGAATCCAGTAACTTGGGACCATATTAATAATGAAGTATTGGTCTTCTAATAAATAGTATCATTTGAAAAATACAACTAAAGGTGCAGTTTTTTAATCCTCACTGCAATTATGATTATTCCATTACCTATGGGAAGATGATAGAGAACGAGAGAACAAATGGAATTTTTTCCCCAATTGACTTCATTTTATTTTAAACTTTTAAAACAAGCATGCTAAAATTACATGGGGTCTCCTTACCTGTCTGTGATGCCACACGAGTCTATCTGGAGGTCCCTGAAACTCCCCAGCACTCCCTGCTGTACTAAGATGGGATCTACTACTGCATCATCAATGGAAATAAGCCTCAGGCAGCCCTGAAACCCTTCCAGGGGGCTGCTGCATCCATATCCAGAGCTGTTGCCAGGGCAGCCTGAACATACAGGAAAGAACCAACTGTTACTTTGAAAATATTGCCCATATTTATTTTATGAGAACTGTTTTTTTGTGAAATTTATTTTATGAGAACTGGTTTTTTTTATGAGAAATGCTACTTAAAAATTGTAGTTTGGGGACAGTGCTGTGGTATAGCAGGTTAAGACATCTCTTGAGATGCCCACACCCCATTTCAGAGTGCTGGTTCAAGTCCCAGCTTGGGGAACCCTGGTGGGGGTCCTGGCTCTTAGCTACATTCTGTCCCAGCCCTGGATGTTGCAGGCACTTGGGGTGTGAACCAGTGGGTGGAAGATCTCTTTCTCTTTCTGTCACTTTGTTTTTCAAATAAATAAATATTTTTTAAAAATTATATTTTGGTTGATTTGTAACTTGTCACAGATGAGGTTCTTACTCATATGTGGAAATAAAAAATTGATCTGATAAGATAGTAGATCAGTGCTTACCAGAGATAGGGTACAGAAAGAAGGAGAAAGATTGGTTAATGGATACAATGTTACAGCCAGATAGGAGAAGCAAAGTTCAGTGTTCAATGTACAAAAGGGTGAAAAATCATATATATTTGACTTTGGGATTTCAAAGTATGGAATCGAGAGCCAAATTACATTCTTAGTATTCCACCTCTGGCTCCCTGAAACTCATAGTCTTGCCTCGTACAATGTATAATAAATTCCATCTTAAATAATTTCAAAGTCTTAGCATTAATTTAAAAGAGCAAAATCCAAAGTCTCATCTAAGATTAAAGGCAAATTCTTTTGGCTATGAACTTCTTTAATGCCAAAAACAAATTAAGAATTTCCAATGCACAATAGTGGAACAGGCCCAGGGTATATATTTCCATTCAAAATGAGGGAGATGGGGAAACAGAAGGGTAGAACAATCTGATCAAATCAAGATCAAAGCCCAGCAGAGCATACATTAAAATCTAAAACTCTGTGTCTGGCATCCTGGGTACATTGTGGCAGGTTATGGGCTCCCAAAGACTCGGTCAGTCCTGCCTCAACAGCTTTACTGGTTGCAGTCCATGCTTCAGTTTTTTCAGGTTATCTGTGTATCTCTCTGAGGCATTGCTCTAAATGGGGCTCTCCAGTGCCTCCAACCTTGTAACAGGTCTCTGTTTGGGATTCTAAGCTTTTCCATGAAATCATGTTGGAAGGAGTCACCATAACCCCATAATTCTTGCATTCTGCATTCCTATAAAACCAGTATCACATGAATGATTCCAGATTGTGTTATCTGGGTGAACAATACTTGCAGCAGCCTAATGTATGGCTCCAGTTGCAGGGTGCTTTGATGATTGAATATAGTGAAATGAATCCAAAAGCAGGCATGGACAAGCTCTTGGAACAGTGCCCCAGGTTTCCACGAATCAATTCTGCTTTTCCAGTCCTCTGAGCTTGTGATGCGGGGAGGGAGGGGTGCTTTGAAGATTTCTGAGATGCCTTTAAGACCTTCCTCTCATTACTTTGTCAAAAAGCACACTGCTCCCTTTAACTTAGGCTAATCCCTTTAGCAAGAGGTTTCTGCACCACAATTCCCTGCTATAGAACATGTATTTTCTTGGCCACTTCTTTGGTGAACCTTAGAATTTTCAAATACTTCTATTCTGCTTTTTCCTACCGATTCTCACTGTAAAACATACTAATAGCAGCTGGTAACACCCTTGACAAAGCCTGAAAGCTTTGGTGCCTTCAAATATCTTACACAAAAGAAACTAGTCTGTCATCTTAGGTTTGTCCTTTCAGAAAGTACTGAGGAGGATACGACAATTCCATAACCCTTCTGGAAGGTGAAACACAACTTAGGACAGATGCTCCGACCTCATCAGCTCTCAGCTCCCAATATCTTATGGAACTATAGTCACAAAAATAATCAGATTTCCTGGGGTTTCCCCTCTCTGCACAGTGAATCCGTGGTGGCTACTGCCTGGATCTCTGGCAGCTCTTCTGCATTATAGCCCCCTTTGTTCTTGTTCAATGCTATCATGAGTGCCTACACAGTTCAAATGCAGTTTAAAGTGTCTCCACTGTTTTTGCAGGTCCAGCCAGTTCCATCTGAAGTCCCACCCCAAACTTTGATTTCATCCAGTCCCTAATTCCAGTCCTCACTTCTGGGTCAGATCCATCCTTAGAGCCAACTGCCACCCTCTTTCTTGACCCAACTATGTTCTTCTACCTTTTGGCAAAAGTTCAACAATGAGAGCCAGTGTCTGAGGCATCCCCATTTCTCTCCCCACTAGCAAGGCTGTGTCCCCGGTCAGTCCTTCCCAACAGAGGACAGCAATGCCTGGTACCTCATGCCTCCATCCCCTGTGCCCAAGGCAGTCCTCAGGGATGTCACTCATTTGCTCAACCTGAAATTCTTCTTTAGTTTCCCCCGGTAGGAAACACATCTCCAAGGAAAAACTGCCCATGTGGAGAAAAATAACTTTTTTTCATGTTAATATACCCAAGGTACTTCATGTTTTTCTTTTCCTCATAAGAGGGTAACGGCTTCTGTCTGTGCTATGTTTGGTGTGGGCTTTGGTGGTGGGAAGGTGACAGTGGTATTAAAGTCCACACCCATGCTGAGTTCCTTTGTTGAACCTTATTCTCCCATGATGCCATCATCACGCAAATAAGAACAATCTAAAAAACAAGATGCGAAGAACCTGTAAACATCCTGCCTGAGTGTCTGGTTCAACTCCTTTCCACTCCTTCCTCTTTACCTTAAACAACTTGCAGCTGTAGGGAACAGGTCTGCAGAGGCATCATAGGCCTGAAAATTCACACACCAGGCTCCAGGAAGTGTCACAGCCAAGTTGCTTCATGTGTCACCCAATGGCTGGGAACTTGAATGGGGCTGGCGGGTGCCAGACTCTGAGTTTGAAGGAAGAACAAGTCTTGGTCTTGGATTTCTTTGATAATGCCTGCCCCTGGGAAGCCCCTTTTACTCCCTATTAAAGGCTGGGATGGACATGGAGACTCTTGATTTAGCCTTAAAGACAAGCAGAGGCTCCACCCACTGTTTCAGCTTTTCTCACACTTCAGAGAAGCAGCAAGGACAGAACTTCTAGATGTGTGTGTGCACAGGTACAAGGCTTCTGAGGTCCACACCCATCTCTGACCCAAATGAATGAATGGCCCTGCCAATGGGTCATCTACCTTTGTCTATCTCATATCTATCTTAGCTTGAGAGAGAGTTAGGGGTGAATGGAGCAGGGATTTAACTGTGTGCAACAACCTTCTGACAGTCAGACACTGGACCAGAACCTCAATGCTCTGGCTCTTAGAACACAAAAGTGGAGAAGCCACCATTAGCTCTGACAGAGCTAATGTATAATAAATTCCATCTTAAATAATTTCAAAGTCTTAGCATTAATTTAAAAGAGGAAAATCCAAAGTCTCATCTAAGATTAAAGGAAAATTCTTTTGGCTATGAACTTCTTTAATGCCAAAAACAAATTAAGTAAGACTTGAGGGGATGCAAAGCAAGTTAGGGAAGATTAATTTTTTCAGAATATATTTGAGAGCCCAACATTGTTGTGTATGGCATCCCATATGAGCACTGGTTCAAATCTCAGCTGCTCCACTTGTGATCCAGTTCCCTGCTAACAGGCCTGGGAAAGCAGCAGAAAGTGACCCAAGTGATTGGGTTCCTGCTACCTATGTAGGAGACCCAAGTGGAGTTCTGGACTCCTGGCTTCAGCTTAGCCCAATCCCAGCTGTTGTGGTCATTTGGAGAGTGAACCAGAGGATGAAAGAGCTCTCTCTCTCTCTCTCTCTCTGCATGTGTGTGTGTGTGTGTGTGTGTATGTGTCTCTCTCCCTTTCTTTATAACTCTGCCATTCAAATAAATAAAATAAGTCTTTAAAAAATACCTGAAGCTGTTGACTTATAATAAGGGGAGATTTATTTAACCTACAGCTTGGAGGTTTAAATTTAAAATAGCATGGTACAAGCCTAGGCTCTGGTGAGGGGCCCCTGATGAATGATGGAGTGTGTGCAGAGGGAGGTTCACAGGGTGAGACAAGAGGCAGAGAGACTGCCCGTATGGAACCCTAGAGTCATCACTCAGAGACCACCCAAAGAGATTTGGCTCAGAGAAATCACATTTCTCCACAGAGACTAAGCACAGGGAGCATCCCAGAGATCTCCCACTGCCCCGCAGGGAGGAATCTGCAGGGTCTCGTGGGGATAAAGTCATCTCTGGAAGAGGACTCTGGCAGTGGGCAGTGGGAGGCCTCTTTGTGTTATTTCCTTGGGGTCACTAGGTAAGGTCCCTGTCTTATGATGATCGTGCATGAGGTGTCCACAAAAGGTCTTTGTGGGGTTTGTGTGTGAGCTCTCCGTGTGGTAAGGAAAGTCTGTGTGAGATCCCAGGGAGGTCTCTCTGGGAGGTCTGGGTGGGGTTGCATGGCACATCTCTGTGGTCTTTGTGGGGGTCTCCATACAAGGTCTTTGGCAGATGTCTAAGTGAGGGCTGTTTAGAGATCACACAGAGATCCTTCACTGAGACAACATAGTAACTTCCTGTGGGCTGAAGGAATCTTCCCCCAGAGACCTTGTGTTGCCCAGAGACTTCGTTCAGAAACTTTCCTCAGAGATTTCAGAGGCCTCCCATCAAGAACTTGCATAGGAATTTCAAAAAAAAAAAAAAAAGGGGGGGGGGGAGTCTCTACAGAGACCCACTCAGATTCTCACCAGGAACCTGGCATGCAGACCTTACCTAGGTACCTCTCATAAAGAACTGAGTAGTCACCAAAAAACCTGACATTCACCCCTTGGGAACCTGAGCATCCAGCCTTTGCCAGGCCCTTCTTACTGGGTACGAAACCACTCAGCAGACTGGCAGCACAGGAGAGACATGATCAGTTGCATCCCCCAGCTTCCAAGAAGCCCAAGACACCCAGATATTGTCAGCACTGCACCAAGCGAGGTTCCATAGTCGGGGAAATGCTGGCAGTTTTTTTTCACTTTTGTATGTCATTGCCTCTGAACC